GCAGAGTTCTCTTTCAATAATCAGGCTCCAGAAATTACACACCCTTGAACAGAATTGGTTGGGGTTTGTTTTTTGGTTTTCCTTCAGCACTTGCATATTGCTGCTGCTGCTGCTGCTGCTGCTACTGTTTGTTTATTTGTTTGTTTGTTTCCTCTTGGAGGCATGCATGGTGTTTTGGGTTTTAAAAAGATAGAAAATTATTCAGCTGTTTATTTGCATTTTGCCACAAATAATGGTGGTGCAAATAGTGGGAACCAAAAATGTACAAAAAAGTACAAAAATGATGTTGGTACCTGCAAGTAGTCTGTGAGCCATAAATTGCCCTCTCCTACCCTAAGTGAAGTAATTGCCATCTAACTGGGCAGATGACACAGGCAATGTGTTGCATCTAAAAGTAGGCATGAGCAAGGGATCTAGCAGATTCAGGCTTTTCCTGCCTACTATCAGCAGCCGCATTGACCTTCCACACATTGTACAGAGGGTTGGAGAGCCTGCTGAATTGGTTTGGTGTTGCAGAAAGGTGAAGAAAAAGCTGAAGAACCACTAAAATTGCCTCTCTGTGGAAACTAGGAGAGAGGCAAGTTTGGTTCCACCAGACTAAATCATGCCTAAATCTGAACTCATAACTATGAATATATAAAAACTAGTCCCCATATTTCAAAATTCCACTAGAATCAGAATGAAACAAATAACAAATGATGTAAAATGATTACAAGCTTCTTCTAAAGCTTTGGGTATTTGTTGACAGCTTGTGATAAGACATAAAGGTTGATGCAAGCATTCCACACCCATCCTCCACCCCAGCTTCCATTTGTGTGGATATTTGTCTTTTCTTATTTCTTAATTTAGACAAAGTGGGTAAGGCACAGTCATGGTCCAGGCACAGAAATTTCATAGAAGCAACATTATGTCCTGTCTAAAATGATAATATCTTATAGTGATTAACTCAAGATAAACTACAAACTGCAGCTATTTACTTCTTCTTGCTGTGTCAGCATCTTAAAGCAATGGATCGTTGTACAGAAAATTGTAGGATTATTTAGTTACCATAGAAATTAAAAATAACTTTTCAGTATCTTTGTGATCAAAGTACTTATCCATGTATGGGTTTACAACTTGAATAGATAACATTGCAGGTTAAAAAAAATGTTAATAATCTT